ATAAATGAGTCACAGGAGGGAGCGTATAGATCAGTGGTAGAATGTGTGCTTAGCATGCACAAGGTCCTGGGTTCAATTCGCAGTACCTCCATTAAAAAAATAAATAAAATAAAATAAGTGAGTCACAAGTGTAAAATGCATGGTGTGGAGAATATAGTCAATAACTAATATCTTTGTGGTAATATATCATAACCAAACTTATTGTGGTTATCAGTTTGAAATGTATAGAAAAAAATCACTATTGTGTAACAGTAACTAACATATTGTTGTAGGTCAATTATACTTCAAAAACAAACAAACAAACATACAAACTCATAGAAAAAGAGATCAGATTTATGGTTATCAGAGGTGGGTTGGAGGAGGAAGAATTGGATGAAGGCAGTCAAAAGGTACTACAAACTTCCAGTAATAAGATAAATAATTACTATGAATGCAATGTACAAAACGATAAATAAAATTAACACCACTATGTGTGTATATATATATACAAACACAGTTAGGAGAGTAGATCCTAAGAGTTTTTTTAATTTATTATTTTTTGTTTTTTCACAATTAAATTTTTTTAATTTTTATTTTGGGGGAGGTAATTAGGTTTATTTATTTTAATTATTATTTTTTTAATGGTGGTACTGAGGATTGAACCCAGGACCTCATGCATGTTAAGCATGCGCTATACCACTGAGCTACACCCTCCCCCCTCTAAGAGTTATCACAAAAAAATTTTTTTCTATTTAATTTTGTATCTATATGAGATGATGGATATTCATTAAACTTATTGTGATAATCATTTCATGACGTATGTAAGTCTGATCATTATGCTCTATACCTTAACTTACACAGGGCTATATGTTAATTATAGCTCAATAACACTGGAAGAAAAAAATTAACAGAAATAGAAAGTAGAATGGTGGTTGCCTGGAGCTGGGAAGGAGGGTAATGGGGACTTGTGGTTTAATAGGTTCAGAGTTTCAGTTTTGCAAAATGAAAAAGCTCTGTAAATTGTTTGCACAACAATGTGACTATACTTAACAATACTGAACTGTACACTTAAAAATGGCTAAGATTGTAAATTTTATGTGTATTTTACTGCAATTAAAAATAAAAATTTAAAAAGATATCAAATATTTCAAATATACAGAAAGTACAGAGACTAATACAACCACCTACTCCCACCCTCTGTTTTCCTCACCACTCCCTCCCCCAATGTGGGTACATACATTATTTTTCTATTTTCATTTTCCTTCTCTTTACCCCCAAAGAATATGTATTATCCTGACATTCTCAAAAACATATGTTGGGATGGGAAAAAGCAAATTGCAAAGGAAGGCTATTAATTTAAATTAATTTAAAGGCATACTATTCCACAGCAACTTCAAGCATAAGTGACTGTGTCCACATTTATAGACTAGACCCTGCAGAAGCATGCTGTTCTCAGATTTACCTTGATAAAACATATGAAATAACCTGCCTGCTTCTTGGTGAGGCACCTCATTCAGAGTCCTACTTCCCTTCTCACTGGATGCCCCCCTAGTCAGCCTGGCTAAGACCTTAGTTCTCCTCCAGTTATGCTGTCACCTCTTGGCCTGAGCAACACAGTCATAGATGTCTTACCGCAGATTCAATACCCAGCCCCAAGGCCCTCCTGCTTGTGTGTTCACGGCCACAGGTGTCCCAATTCCTGGCCTACCACAGCCTAATGGGTGTGCCCCAGAGACAGATAATTCTGAAAATACGCAGTTTTATTTTAGGCTTATGCTAAAATACAGCTTTATGGATTATGGAAATACATAAACAATTCAACTATCAAAGAAAGGATCAAAACACTAAGACACAAAGCTGAGGACTGGGGTCCTTTTTATGTCAAGAAACTCTACAAGAAAATTCCAATAAATACCATTCTTTGAACTGGAATTTCTGAAAGCTATAGTGTATGTAATGAGAATTTTCATATAATTCCTTTCATACATCTTTTCACTTCATGCGTAATAAAGCAACCTATCTGGTCAGTATTAACATGATTTTACTTTTTATAGTCCCCCTTTAGTCAATGTAACTTGGATCACCCACTTCTAATGACAGAAAAATTATTTCACTTTTGTATAGACTAGATCTTCAGTTTTAATGAAGGCATCATAGTCAAGTAATCTGACCTAAAATAGAGCAGAAAGGCCCAAAAATATGTGACAAGCTTAAATGCTTTTGCTCTTTACTTTTCTACATAAGTGAATTTTCCTGAGCAAATCACTTTACTTCTCTGTGGCTCAGTTCCTCATGGACACAAGGAGGTTAACAAAACCCACCACACATGGAATTGGATGGGTTAACACACATGAAGCACCTAACACAGGGTCAGGCATCTCATTGTTACAAACAAGGTTTAACAGAACTCTAGTTAAACCATTTTGTGAAGATCAAATAGAGGTTAAGGATTTTTTTTTTGATCAATGCTATTTGGGATTTTTTTTGAGGGCGAGTAGGGAAGATAACTAGGCTTATTTATTTATTTATTTTTTAATGAAGGTACTAGGGATTAAACCCAGTACCTCGTGCATGCTAAGCACACACTCTACCACCGAGCTACACCCTCCCCCAACATAAAGAATCTGTTGATCTGGTTTTTGTTGGTTTTGTGTTTGTTTGTTGGTTGGTTTCCGATTTTTGCTGATTTGATCAGTTGTTTCTCTGAATTAACCCAATCAACATACAGGTTTGGCTATTAATATGGTCACAGCTGCTTATAATCAATCCAAATTTAGGGATTACTACTGAGTGACTTTCTTGGAAAAAACAATGAATTTGCATCCCCGCTTTACATTATACACCTGGATAGACTCCAAATGGATCAAAGATTTAAAATGAAACATAAAAGTACTATAAGAAATATGGAAAAATTTTGTAACCTTGGAGAAGGGAAGGCCTTTCCAACTATGACTCATAACTCAGATGTCATAAAATTTAAAAAAGATCAACCAATTCAATTACATAAAAATACTAAAAGAGAACACTGTGGCAAACTCAAAAGACAAACAAAATACTGGAAGATTAATTTCAACTCATGATACAAAGAGCTAATTTCTATAATATGCTGGAAATTTAAAAAAAAACACAGTCCAACAAACTAATAGAAAAAAAATGGGCAAAATATAAAACAACAAATAAAGGAAATACAAATGATGCTTAAACATATGAAAAATTTCAATTGTAGTCACAGTAAAAGGAATGCAAAAACAATACCACACTAAGTTATAATTTCCCACCTGTCAAATTTGCAAACATTCAAAAGATTGATTACACATGTGGTTAGCAAATTTGTGAAGAAATATAGACTCCTCATGCACTACCAGGGCAGCGGAAATGTTACAACATTTATGGAGGGAAATTTGGGTGTAGCTTTTAAAATTATAAATACATTTATGCTAGCCATCCTATTCTGGGGATTTACCTTAAAGATATACCTGCACACTTAGAAAATAATCTATATTTATTACAGATTATTCATGACAGAATTGTTTGTAACAACAATAGCCTGGAAGCAACGCACATGTCCACTTAAAGAGGACTAGTTTTATAACTATGGTTCAGCCACAGAATGGAATATTCTGCAGCCCTGAAAAATAACAAGGAATCCCTCTAGGCACTGACATAGAAGGAAGACAGATGGTTGAGTGAAAAAAATACAAAACTGGCCATGGAGTATTAGATTTTTTATCTAAGAAAAAAAGATGGTGATATGAATACATATTTATATTTGTTTGTATTTACATAAAGAGTTACTAGGTAGACACAAAAACTGTACAGAAGAAAGTGGTTTCCTACAAACGGTAGGAGGAGTAGAGTGGATGAGGATTAGGATGGGAGCTAAACTTCTCAAATGCATTCATTTTAATATCATTTTTTTAATCATGTGAATGTTATCTGTTCATAAAATTAAGCTTAAAATATATCTGTTGATTACCTGCTATGTAGAAAGCCCTGTGTTCAAACCAGCTACAATGAGTATTTATGAACATCAGTGTGCTCCCACAGTGTTCTGAAAAGACTGATAGTGGGTGGGAGAGGAAGGGAACTCATGGCTTATAAATCATGTGATTTTTGTCCTTTCTCTGTTTGATATGGTGTATCACGTTGCTTGATTTGTGTATGTTGGACCATCCCTGTGTCCCTGGGATGAACCACTTATAAGTCTTTGACTTTGTACCTCCCTGCCTTGGGGCCTAGCATGAATATGATCTTTGGGGAAACAGGACACACTTGGATAAAAAGATAGATACAGGGCTAAATACTGAAGGAAAAATGCTTCTAGATCAGAAGAGAAAAATGTCCCATTGCTGAACCCATCCAGAAAGGCTTCAGAAGTAAAACTTGAGCTGGGTTTTTAGTATCATAAATTAAGCGTTTTTCACAAAAAGTTCTCCTACAGGAAAAAGAAGAACTTTTTTCTGTACAAAAAGATTTTTTTTCAGAACCCCCTTGATTATACCAATTTTTTGAACGGGGGTTATGAAGTAGTGGGGGGGAAGATGGGAAGGACATGTCCATAATTCCTATTCAATTATCAAAAAGGAAATAACAGCACAACATTAGTTTTTCCTGGTCGCCTTATCCTTCCCTAAAACAAAAGTGGTGCAAAGAAATCAAGAGTTGGACTGAAACAATTCAAAAAGTCTGACTTTATTTTATTCCTTTCTAATTTAAAATTTTACATCATCCCAGGAAGTTCTTCTCTTTGACAGCTTTGATGGACGGTTTCTCTGCACAGGTTGGCCAGAATCAGGAGAGAAATTGTAAGTTTCCATTCCCGTCCAACATTTACATAGAGGTTTCACTTTATAAATGTTCATGGGGCTGCAGCGATGAAAAGGGGGAACACACCCTTGAAGGAGTCATTCATCTTGACTCATAAGAGTGGAACTGCCCAGCTAATGCCTGATTGCCCTCTTTGGCACACCTGGTCCACCCTTGAACACTTCCTGTGACAGGAATTCACTGCCACTGTCATCTTGATGCAACTCTGACTGTCAGCAAGCTCTTCAGCTGAGATGGAAAATCTCGTATTTTCAACCCACTGGTCTGAATGCTAGCCGCATATCTGCAGGCAAGACAAATTCATCTCATGTGAGTTAAACTTGTCACTCCACAAGAATCACTTGGGTTTACGTTAGTTTGGAGTTGGGATGCAGGGGTAGGGGAGGGTCAGGGAAGGAGAATGAATAATGTTTTTGTTGTTTTTGTTGTTGTTTGGTTCTAAACAAGGCTTTAGCACTTCTGCATTTAAAAGAATGAATTAGGGAACAATGTTAGATAAATTGCAAAATACGACATTACTGCATACTTTATTAAATGGACCATTTAAGCATCTGGTTGACCAAATTTACTTGAAAAATAACCCTTTTAGGAGTGCATCTTACTTAAACATGTAAAATGATAAGTGGAATAATAATTGTCTTCTAAGCATGCACTCTGAAGTATCTGATTAGCCCCCATTGCTGTAGGACCCAGGTGCTGAAAGAAATAAAATTTAGTAGTGATAAATAAGAGACAAGCATACTTATCTTTCACCAGAGTTATGGTCACACAGAAATAAGGTGTTTGAATGCTTTTCCTGGAGAATAAGAATTATTTTGAATAAAGAGCTGTCACCTAAGTTAGTAATACCCCAAGCAAGTTTTATGGCTCCGTAAGGAAAGAATTAGCCTGCCCATTTGGGAATTTAGTGGTGTTTGGAATGCAGAAAGTGACAGTGGGGTTGGAAATGGATTGGCTTTGGGGCTTGTTCTGCTTTATAAATAATAATGAACCTTTCCAACATGAAGTAATGTGAAATGGGAAAAAAAAAAACCTTTGTCCCTAGAGTATAAAATTACCTCATAACCCAATTTGCATTTCTCCACTCCAAGCACATTTTCTGTGAGTTCTACTTAGAGACTGAAAGCTGCAGCATCATAATTAGTTTTAACAAGTACTTGGCAGACCGAGCTGGACAGTGTACAAGCTGCCCTAGACCAAGTACGAACGTGAAGTGCACTTTTTATGATGTTTTTTTCTCACAATGGCATTATTTAAACAGTTAAAATCAGCTGAGATGCAGCATTACTTTCTTCTTTTCCCCTTCATTTGGATTTTTTCTTTTAATTCTCCTTGAATACACAAGCCGTTTGTAAAAACTTACGAAATGTGGGAGATAATTGGATCTTGGTGCAGGAAAACGACAAGGGTGTTAGGTATTTGCTATTCATCAAAGGTGCCACTTGTTTTTCTTTCTTTTCTCTCCCTGTATTCAGAAAAGTAGTATGAATATCTCCTGACTTATAATGTATTGTTCATTAGCAGAAAAACTGCTTCAGAGCTAGATCCCTGTGTCATTTCCCACGCAGCATCTTCATTCTTTTCTTAAAGCGCCATTTGGTAAAAGCAGGTGATAGTCTTGAGATGCCATGAGCAGACTTCCAGCACTATTTCTCTTTTATATCCCTGCACATGGAATATGGGAAAGCAAATAAAGAGTAATTTCTGAGCAGGAAAATCAATTTGAAAAGACCCAATACTCTGATTTCAGAGTAGTAACTTGCCTCTCATGTATCCATCTAGTTTATTGTTCTATACTAAATGATTCATGCATGTCTGTATGTTTATAATTGATATGAAAAATTGCAAAATCTTAATTAAGGCAAAAAAAAAAGACATTCTGTAATTTCCCAAGCAACCTACTAAAAAGATGAATATCTAACATTTTTTAAGATGAAAAACAGTAACATCACAATTTAGTCCTTTTTACGTTTTTGAAACCAAACTTAATGCTTGTGACTCAGTTGCTTGCTCTCACAAAGAGTCCTAATTAACCTTCAAGATAACAACTCATCAAATTCCATTACTTCTACAAAAGCAATACTTTCTTATCTTTCATAATCGAATTTCAAGCTGATGATTAATGCCATGGGTAGAATTGCCAGTTAAAAATAATGTGTCTGAATCTCTTATCCTTTTCATTTAGCAATGTGTGAAATGTTTACTCTATCTAAAAATCTTGATGCTTAAATGGCTTGTTTGTGTCACCTAAAAACGCAACAACACTCAAGTTAAGCTTTTCCTTATTAACATCACCTGACCATGTACCATATTTGGAGCTTAGTAAAATTCTTTAAAGTCAAATCTACGCACTGATTAAAGGAATCTGCTTAATTTATTCTTGTTTTGGATAAAAATTCCCTTTTTAAAAAAAAAATTTATTGACGTATAGTTGGTTTACAATGTTGCATTAATTTCTGGTGTCCAGCATAGTGATTCAGTCATACATATATATATTCCTTTTCATATTCTTTTTAATTATAGGCTATTACAAGGTACTGAATATAGTTCCCTGTGCTATACAGTAGGACCTTGTTGCTTATCTATTTTATGTATCGTAGTATCTGCAAATCCCAAATTCCCACCCCTTGCTTTTCCCCCAGTGACCATAAGTTTATTTTCTGTGTCTGTGACTCTGTTTCTGTTTTGCAGCTAAGTTCATTTGTGTCTTTTTTTTCCCCCAAGATTCCACATATGAGTGATATCATATGGTATTTTTCTTCCTCTTTCTTGCTTACTTCACTTAGAATGACAATCTCCAGGTCATCCAGGTCAATGCAAATGGCATTATTTCATTCTTTTTATGGTTGAGTAGTATTCCATTATATATATACCACATCTTCTTTATCCAATCATCTGTCAATGGACATTTAGGTTGTTTCCATGTCTTGGCTATTGTAAATAGTGCTGCTATAAACATTGGGGTGCATGTAGCTTTTCAAATTAGAGTTTCCTCCAGATATATGCCCAGGAGTGGGATTGCTGGATCATATGGTAAGTCTATTTTTAGTTTTTTAAGGAATCTTCATACTGTTTTCTATAATGGCTGCAGCAAACTACATTCCCACGAGCAGCGTAGGAGGGTTCCCTTTTCTCCACACCCTCTCCAGCATTTATCATTGTGAACTTTTTAATGACGGTCATTCTGACCGATGTGAAGTGATACCTCATTGTTGTTTTCATTTGCATTTCTCTGATAATTGGCAATACTGAGTATTTTTTCATGTGCCTATTGGTCATTTGTATGTCTTCATTGGAGAAATGTATGTTTAGGTCTTTTGCCCATTTTTGGATTGGGTTGTTTGGGGTTTTTCTGTTATTGAGTTGTAGGGAATTTTCTTAAGTTAAATTGCATTCACCATTTCTTGAGAATCTAACATATGCAAGGCACTGTGCTTAGAGGTAAGGGGCAGACAAAGGTGGATCAGAGAAGCTCCCTGTCCTCAGGAAGCATAGCCCAGGGAGGAGATAAACTTATGTCGGCCTTATGTTGATAAAGCAGAAAGAGCTCACATCTAGTTGTTAGCATACAAAGGTGTTAGTTTGTATGGAACCACACACAAACAAAAACGACCCTGAATCATCAAAGCAATCTGAAGAAAGAAGAGCAGAGCTGGGGGCATCATGCTCTCTGATTTCAAACTATTACAAACCTATAGTTCATTAAAACAGTATGGTATTGACATTAAAACAGATACACAGATCAGTGAAATAGAACAGAGAGCCCAGAAATAAACCTGTGAATATATGGTCATTTAACTTACACCAAAGGAGCCAAGAATACGCAATGGAAAAAGAATAGTATCTCCAATAAATGCTCCTGGGAAAACTGGAGAGGCACATGCAAAAGAATGAAACTTGACCACTATCTTGTATCATATACAAAAACTAATTCAAAATGGATTAATGACTTGAACATAAGAACTGAAACCTTAAAATTCCTACAAGGGAACACAGGTAGTAAGCTCCTTGACAGAGGTCTTGGCAATGATTTTTATGAATCTGACACCAAAAGCAAAAGTAACAAAAGCAAAAGTAAGTATGTGACAGCATTGTTTCCTAACATCATGAATTTATGGTTAAGGAAATAGTGTAGAGAAGGGAAGTGGGAAAGAAGACACTGATGAAAAAAAGGAGAGGGGCTCCTTCACAGCTCCCCATCCACTTTAAATCTGAGTGACCCTGATCCTTAAACAGGGCAATCTTGACTCTTGAATAACGACAAAAGCTATTTTCAAAAGGAGCACTTTCACCACAGGAGCCTGACCTAAGGATAATAATAGTTGGAGTGAAGTTTCAATCAGCCACATGGCATTTGTCAATCATCTGATATGTACTGAAAACCAAGGTGTCAGAAGATAAAATTGCAAGCACTCTGCCTTGAGTCTCAAATAGCCTGGGACAAAGTCGGGGGGCAGAAGTCACACATGAAATAACTGAAGAATCTACTTGCAAAGCAACATCCTAGTAAGTACAATAAAGTACAATTATAAATGCAAAAAAATGCTGAGACTTGCAAGTAGAGGGGTAACCATATGCCCCGGGGCATACTGTGAGGTGGGTCTGGGAAAGGTATGGCTAGGAGGGAGTCATTGCCATTGAGAGTGCTGTCACTCACTCATCTTTTCCTGGTCCACTGTGACTCCGGCGAACAGTAGGGCAGGACCAAACCATCACTGTGTGGTGATTGCACCTAAATTCCATCCAATTATGACAAACTTATCAAGATAAAATTTCATTAATCTGTCTTCTATATGCAATTAGCTAATGATCTTGTCTAAGACTTAAGAAAATGGTAGGCCTCTCTTCCTCCTTTTTCTCTTTCTTGTTGTGTGTCACATGAAGCTGCAGTGAGCTAGGAATTTCTTCCCCCTGGGGACTCTTTATCTGGGGCCTTAGATCACTCACAGCTGTTGCTTGCAGATCACCCATATGGAAGGAACAGAGGTTAATATCTGGTGGACAATGTAATCCCTCCCACTGAGAGGCTTACTGACTTGTTTATAGAATGGTGCATCCCAGGAGGACCAAAAAGAAATATATATTGGATCCTAGTGTTCTCTTGCAGGGGCACTGCCTACACTGAGCATCATTAGAACAACAGACTGTTAGCTCCAAACATGGACCCACTAGAGCTTTCTAAACCATTTCTATCACACTAGCTCACAGGACTAACGTGACATATCCAGGAACCAAGATTCTAACTGGAAGTACCTCAACGGGGTGTTGGCTCATTCTTATTCCAACCAAAAGGCAATGCACCATAAACTGCATATTGATACGTCTGCAATGATTATGGCAACCATATAAAATCTCATTACTTAAAAGAAATGAAACTCACTGTAGTTTATTCAGCAATATTCTTCATCCATGTCCAACATCAGATTGTTCATGTGCCAGTCACAGTTAAATCTAATTTGCTGTAATCTTGGTAAATGGGAGGTAATCAATAAATCCTCAGCTCCAGCATATAATACATTTCTGAAATACAATAATAAAGAGAGGATGGGGAAAACGCTTCCTGACCATAACTAACATTTGTGATGCAGCAAGAAGTTTCCCTGGGCTCTCATATTATATTTATTGGAATTAAAAATATGTACATAGTTTAAGAGGTTTATAAGTCATTTGTTTTTATTATTTCTGTTAGCCCTGCATAGTTACTAAAATTGAGATTAGAGTCCTCATTTCTTTTTTTGTGGGGGGGGAGGAAATATCACTATTACTTTTTTTTAATTGAAGTATAGTCAGTTTACAATGTTGTCAGTTTTTTTTTTTTTGAGAGATAAAACCATTTTAAAATTTATATATATGGGAGAGGGTATAGCTCAGTGGTAGGACTCATGCCTAGCGTGCACAAGTTCCTGGGTTCAATCCCCAGTACCTCCATTAAAAAAAAAAGTTACAAATATGTACAGTTCATTGTTTCTAAAAACAGTTTAGAGCTTTAGCTTTTTAAACTTATATAGGTATCAAAGGAATAAAGCCAACCACAAAATAAGAATCAACAGGATGCAGTAATCCAATCACAAAGGATAGTCAAATATCCTTATACATAGTCAAGAAATCAGTCATCTAAGTTATAAATAATAAGTAGTTCATTTGCGTCCTATTTTTCTTTAGATTCCACATATAAGCAATATCATACGGCGTTTTTCTTTCTCTTTCTGGCTTATTTCACTTAGAATGACAATCTCCGGGTCCATCGATGTGGCTGCCAATGGCATTATTTTATTCTTTTTATGGCTGAGTAGTATTCCACTGCATAAATATACCACAACTTCTTTACCCAGTCATCTGTCGATGGACATTTAGGTTGTTTCCATGTCTTGGTTTTTGTAAATAGTGCTGCTATGAACATTAGAGCCCCCATTTTTTAATGTGCTGTTCTAAATTCTTAGCTTGCTTGATCTTGGGTGAGCCTCACAACAGCACTTTGAGAAATTATTCCGCTTGCCATTTTGCAGCTGAGAAAACTGAGACACAGAGAAGTATTGCCCAAAGTCTCATAATTAACCAAAGGCAGAGACAATATTTACACCAGCTCTACCAGAGCCAAGCTCTTAACCATGAATGCTTCACTGCTCCACTAGTCACATAAGTATAAGTGCTCATTAATTATATGTGAATTGGTGATTAGCACAAACATTTCTAAATAAGGCTTTAGGGGCAGTATTCTGGTTGAAAATGAGGCACTAGGAGTCTTTCCTGAAGATATATTTCGATAGCAAATTCTATTTTCACTTAGTTGGTATGCTTATTTGGGTGGTTTATTTAGGCTGATTAACAGAATTTGGAGGGGTTAAGGGTTAAAGCCCTCCCAAGCCATCCCTTAGTGCTGCTAATATGGATCACAATACTACATACTCAACATCATTTTCTCCTTGGTTCCCTGAACAAGGGATGGGTGCTAGAATGTTTGTTTTCCTATTTTACACCTTCAAGCGTGCAAATATTATAAACTACAGTTCTAAGTCATAACTACTTTTCCCCTCCGACTGGATTTTTTTGCTTTGATCCATTGAAAGACATACATGCTACTACTACACAATGCCTAAATAATTGTTCAGTTAGATGGGGGAGCCAGAATTCACATTCACTAGCATCATGAATACAGAGCCACTTCCATTGTACATCTTATTTCTCATGGTTATGCAGAATTCAGGCCTTGGTGTTTGATTATTTCTCTCTTAGGAAGCATAGTTGTTCTAGGATTGATACTGCATAAAACTAGAAACTTGTTGGGACATGAGAAATTAGTTTGTCTCTAAGGCAGAATTTTGAAGCCGGAAAAACTGTTCTTGGCTCTGTGTTCTTCTCTTGGGCACTTAATCTGGGTCCCGATTTTACTCTGAACTGGAGGTATTAGTATTATCCCCGATAGGTGTTATCTGAGAAAGGCTGTCATCAAGTCAGTACCAGCCTAGTGTTCTCAGGACTCAGTGGGCTCTGGAGTTGCAAATAACTGGTCTGAACAAGCTACCTAGGTGGTCTTGGGAAAATAATTTAATCTCTCCGAAACCCAGTCATATCCTCTGTAGAACAGGGATGACAATATCTATATCTTACATACCTTAACATTACCAACTTGGGTCCTTGGACCCTTTAATCAATAGAAATTGGTAAGAGGCCAGTGAAGAAATTCCCGGCAAGGTTTTACTGGGACTCGTGCTGCAACATGAGGGAACAAAAACAAGTAATAGGTTCCCTTGCTCGCTCCCTGAGGAGGGCAGGCTGGTTCCTTAAACCGGGTGAGGTTGAGGGCAGATCTGAGGTTGAGGGCAGATCGACTGACACGGCTGGAGGGATGGCTTAGGTTGTTGACTCAACCCCTTGTGGATGCAGGGATCACGCCCACGTACCCTTCTTTTGCTCCAGACACCTCAGAAGTAACAGTTGGTTTTTGTCCCTTTTGTATTTTATTGTTCATAATTTGCCCCTACTGCATATGCGTGCAGTTATTTTCAGTTTCTTTGTATTCTGTTGCTGGAAGAGACTCATTTGTCCAGGTGCAAGCACTGTGGTAAAGGGTCCCAGGTCTCAGCCTGTCTCATGAAGATTAAGCATGTAGGGTGAGAAGTACAGTACCAAAGACACAGTAGGAACTAGATAAATGATAGCTTTTTTGGCATTATGACATAAGCATAGAGAATAGGTAAGGGGTCTATTTCTGCAGAGGGTATAAGTTGGAGTCATTTTGTGTATTTCTTCCTCTGTGAATGATAAAGATGTACTATATGATTTTTAAAGATTAAAAATGTTAAGTGCCATTTATCTGTAGCAAATAAGCTGAATATACACACTTGTAGACCAAAAGCCTGATTTAACTCCAGGTTTAAAAAACTTTACAGCACGTCATAGAACAATAAAGTACATTTTCAAAGGTTAAAAAACCCAACCCACCCACATTGTGAAACTATCAAACAGGATGTTTAAAGGTGTGAAAATCATGCTCGAGAAAATGATTACACGTAAAGAAGACAAAAACTGTTGTGACTACGTACAGGGGGAAAGGAAATTACCTCACCAGACTTGGGCTGAAGTTACAGTGTACTAAATTTTGTCAGAAGGAAAAAAAATCCATTCATTCGTCAAGTATTTGTTGAGCGCCCACTACCTGCCAAGCACAAACAAAACCATTCACAACCACCAATTCTGCTTTGCTTTCTCCGGGCCCAGCAGCCTGCCCCGTTAAGAACCGTACAACTTTCCGCTGACAAGATTCCGGAGCGCGCCATTGAGCAACTCGGCCCCGCCCCCCTTGCACAAGCCCCGCGTATTTACGTAACCTCAATTCGAAAACGTCAAGACGTACCTACGGTGTCCCACGAAGAAATGGCGGTGCTGCAACAGTGACTAGTTCCGCCCTCGTGAAAGATGGCGCTTGATGCGTCAGCCATCCCTACTACCCCCAGGCTCCTTTCTACGGGGGCGGATCCTGGAGACAGCAGAGGGTATGTGTTGAGGTGGTGTGTGGTTTTGTTTTTCCCGCCCTTTCTCCTCTCTCCGTGCTCTCACACTATTTGCTGAGGGTGAACGAGGAGACATGGGATAAAATTTAACCAGAAGAAGCGCACGACGAAGGAAATGACCGCGGCGAGAAGTGGGTTCGGGGGCGGTGGCGC